AGGAGCCACATCCAGGATGCCAGAACCGGGGTGAGGAGGTCCTCAGCAGGAGGTTGCAAGCCTTACTCACTCGGTACCTGGCTCCTCCCTGGCACCTTTCCAGGGGAAGGCAGGACAGGTGAAGGGAAAAAGGCTCCCAGCAATCCAGATACATGCCATAAACACTTTGTACGCTAAGGAAGTCTCCTTCATTCCTAACTTTGATCAGGCTTACTCTTGTTTTATTCACAGTTGAATGGGAAGTCCAAGTCCTCTAGCAATTATCCCTGCCAAGCATGGCACCCCCAACCTGAGTCCCCTGGTAACTTCGCTTGTCACCCGAATCACTGTCTGGGACTTTTTCTTCTTGCCTTCTGGTGTCCCCACAAGACTTGAATTTCTCTACTGCAGGGACTGTAGCTTATTCACCGTGGTCTCCCCGTGACGCAGCCATGCCCGCTGGTATGTGGAAGGTGTTCTATAATGTAGGATGGTGCTCTCTTAGTTTAGACCTAGGAGCTTGGAACTCAGAGCAGGAGAGGGGATTACAGGAGTGTACTGCCTGGTATGAAGAAGGCAGAAACCCCATGCAAGCGGACCTGCAGTGATTGGATGCTCTTGGAGGGCAAGTACCCCTGCAACCTCGGGAGCCTCCGAGGCAGCGAACTTGAGGAAGGGCCCTGTTGATGTTCCTGAGGGCTCCAGGCCACTGAGCAAAGGTCAGAGACAGGAGAGTATCGGGAGATTGCAAAAAGATCTCCACCTCCCAGGGGTGGGGCGGGCAGGGTATGGTTGTTTCAAAGTTCATGTCTGTGAGAATTGCTCCCTCAGCTGTTTGAAACCTGCCGTGCAGCATGCCTGCATTCCCGGGTCCTGACAGTCTCCTTCTGGCCTCTTGGACCCGACAGTGGCCTGTGAAGGGTGTAAGCGAGGTTCTCGAGCTGTATTCAGGATTTAGCAGAGCCTAATGGGTTATGCGGGTGACTAGCTATGTGTGCCTTAGTTAATAAAGTCAGAGGACACCCACTGCGCCCTTCTCCCCAGCACCCGGCTCAGTGCCCTCTGGGTGCGCTTGTGGAATTGTTGCTCGGTAAATTTAGTTTTGGGAGGCAAAACATATGGAGAATGAGGCAGAAACATGGAAGTGTCTTTGGGGTTATGAAGGAAACGACAAAGAGAAGGAGCTTCCCCACCTAGGAGCTTCCTCTGGGACAGGAACGAACGCAGAGAAGAGGTGGGGGTGGGGGCTGTGTGTGGAGAGTCGCCCCCTGGTGGTCCTGAAGGGGCACAGCATCTGGAACCACAGAACAACCTCCTGTGAACGAGAAGACAAACCCGGGACTTTTTAACCAGTGGCTGTTTCCCTGGAAAGTGCCACAAAACATGATGTCTCGAGAGGGTGTGGGCACGTTAGCCAACGTCTCTGGCCCTCGCTCTCCCCATTCTGTGCTGTCTGGTGCCAAGGGGCCTCCTGAATAGGGCCCTCCTGGGGTGAACGCATCAGGTCGCGTGGCAGGGGGCTGGCGCTTGCTCCAGGCCCTCTTTTCTGTCTGATCAGCCTGGCCGGGCAGTGAGAGTTGCCCACAGGGGGCCTGACCGCCCTGCATAGCGTAGACTGACCAGCCCCGCCTCAGCCGCCGGGCCCCAAGTGGCCTTGCGGTTACCAGCAAAAGTGAGGACCATCGCAGATTTATTCCCAAGACCTAGAAACGCCTTCTGAAAATCTGTCCTTTCTGTGATGGCTTATTGGTGTGAGTCACCCTCTATAGGGAAATATACATGAAAAATCCAATGGATGGGAAGGAAGGATGCTCACGTTTATTAAGAGGCTAGTAAATATGCATACTGAGTCATCATAGCAGTGCTATTGGGAGATTTTCTTTTTTTTTTGGTGCTCATTTTACAGGTAAAGGAAACTGAGGCTCAAAACTGCCATGCTCAAGATGACACAGAAAGTTCCAGAATGGAAGCATGGGCCCAACGCCCTAAATGTCACAAGGCCTTAGAGGCATGGCATGTGTCAAGCAGTTGTTGGGGATGTGTACTGGGGACACGGCTCTTCTGTACCCTCAGGGCAGGGTGGAAGGGAGAAGGAGGACTCATTCAACCCCACTGCACCCACCACCCTGTGCAGCCCTTGGCCCCTTCTTGCCCACACTTCTCTGTGGGAGTGACATAACCCTGGTGCCCAGAGCTGATTGGACGAGCCCTTACACCTGTCCCAGAGGCAGCCCATCCATAGGCTGGCAAGAGGCCTGGCAGGGGAAAAGCCACACCCAGCAGAAAGGGCAGTCTTCACACCCCACTGGTTCCTCTAGGGGCAATGGGAGTGTGCCCTCCAGAGAAAGAGGAGTGTTGGTAGCAGGAAGACACTGCACATGACAGAGAAGCAGAGCGAGAGCAGCCACGTTTCACAGAAGCAGTGCTCAGGGCAGGGAATGGTCTTGGCCCCTACACCAGGCCAAAAAAGATGGCCCAAGCATATTGCTGGAACTGGATTTGGTGCCTGAACATTCTGTGCTCATTTCAGCCTGGTTCTGTAATGCAGACTCTCTCCTAGTGCCTGTTTTACAGATGAGCAAACTGAGGCACAGAGAGATTGTGTAACTTGCCCAAGGTTGTCCAGCTCATGAATGGTGAGCTGAGGTTTCAGTTCCCGCAGACTGTCTTCTGAGCCTTGTGACTATGTCACAAGGGCACGTGTGGGAGCTCTAGCTGTCCTGGGTACTTGAGGTCAATTCAGGGTCCTCTAGGATCACCTCACAGTCCTCATTCTAGGTCCCATTCATCTCTCTTCTGTCCAGTAGGACCACTTGCAAGGTGTCAAGCATGCCTGTCACTTTCCTGCCCCTGGGCATCTGCTCAGACTGAGTTTTTAACCAGAAATAACCCCCTGCTCACTGTTCTTCAAGCCCCTACTTCCCCAGGTTGAAGTGAGTCCTCCCTCCTCTGTGCTCTACTCACAGTGTTTAAAGGAGGCATAAGAGAGTCTGTTCTATCCTAGTCATTTCTCACTCTGAGACCTCCACCACCGGCCCACTTGATGCAGAAAGAGCTCAGGTTTGGGAGTCGGCCAGAGCTGTTAGAGTTCCTGTTCTGTCACTCAGGTGTGGTCAAGGTACCCTACACCTACAGGCACAGTTCTGATGTCTGCTGACTTTAAAGGGGAAGAGTCCAGCATTTCACACTTGCATCTTATGTTTGCCGTGGAGACCCATCATCAGCTTAAGGAAGTTCTCTTCTATTCCTAATTTTTATCATAAATCGGTGTTTAATGTTTTCAGTGCTTTCTCTGTATCTAATGAGATGATCATAAGTTTTTTTTTTTCATTTAATTTGCTGTTCCTATATTTACTTCTGTATAAAAACCACACCCAAATGGAGTAGCTTCACGTGGCATTTACTTGCTGATCATTCTGCAGTTGGGGCGTGGCTCAGCGGGGCCAGCTTGTCTCTGTGCACTCAACATCAGCTAGAATGGCTCAAAGCCAGGGCACTGGAATCACTTGAAGAGTGATCACATGCTTGATAGTTGATGCTTCTGGCTATAAGCTTGGACATCAGTTAGGACTGTTGGCAGGAACACTACATGTGGTCTCTGCATGCGGCCTGGGCTTCCTCACAGTATGGCGGCTGGGTTCCCAAAGGCAAATGTCCTAAGACAGAACCAGGCAGAAGCCACACTGGCCTCAGAAGCCAAGCAGCATTACTTCTGCCACATTCTACTCACCCAGATGGTTACACGAAGTCCTACTGAGTTTCAGGGTAGGGGAACGGACTCCATCTCTTGATGAGGGAGAGATAAGTAGGGCTAGAAATACTGCAGTGGCTATTATTGGAAATTATACTGATTTTTTTTTTTTTGCTGTTTTTGCAAACACTGCATTTCTTTAAAAATTTACCTTAAAAAAGGCTAAAGTTTATCAGTTTCTTTTTCCTCCTTCCAAATAATGCACATACCCCCAACTTAAATACTACTGTTACCATGTATTTTATCTTGGACTTTTGTTTCTAAATTTTTTAATCCTACAAGAGATTTTTATGCAATCAATGTTTATTTAGCTTACTCCATAGTTCCTGCTGTCTATACTCTTGATTCTTCATGTGTCTCAGACCTTTTAGCTGGGAGATTGCCTTGCTTCCGCTGAAGTAAATCCTTTGGAATTTTCTTTACTGAATATCTATTGGTAGCAAGATAGCTACCAATAGATAACTTTAGAGATAAAGTTATTTTTGTCTGAAAATATTTTTACTTTGCTTGATATAAAATTCCAGGTTGGCAGTTATTTTCTTTCAACAAATTGAAGATGTCATTCCACTGTCTTTTAGCATCATCATTAACTGATGAGAAGTCAGCTGTCAATCTGCTGCTGGCCTTTTCTTTCTGGCTGCCTTTGTGATCTGTCTTCGGTGTTATCTTTGGTGTTCTGCAAATTTCACTGTAATGTATATAGGGGAGAGTTTTCTTTATCTTGCCTGCTTAGAATTTGAGTTTCTTAACTCTGTGCATTGGTGAAGGAAGGGAACTCCCCTCTTCCCTTCCCCCCAGGCTGTCATTTCTTGCCCCTCACTTAGTGTGATCCTCACAGGGTTATACTTTAGAAAGTAAGCATTGGGAAAGGAAGATATGTTCAGGCAAATTCTGCTTCCTTGTGTCTTGTGACCCTCACCCTCCAGCCAAGGGGACATCCAGAATGAGCTGGAACTGGGAAGGAAAAATGATCTGGGGATGAAGTGAACATGACACCTCAAGAAGTCGCCCTGCCCCACTGGGTCTACATATCAGCTCCAGGGCTGGAGCTTCTCATCAAGGCTCCTGAGGGCCACTGTGTGCATTTCTTCCTGGCTCAGCCTCAGTGAGGTCACATTGGGAGCCTGAGAATTTCAAGGGCAGTCCCTCCCCCCAGAGCCAGCTGTCAAGCAATTACCAGCATAGCACTGGGCAGGAGCCATGGCTAATAGCAGCAGGGATGGGAAAGGCTGGAAGTTCAGAGTCAGGATAAAGCCAACAGGAGTCCCTCTCCTTTGTCAAGTTTATTTTATTAAAATATACAGGACTGAATGTTGGTGGGCACTGAGAACAGGAACCACCCTCCCAGGCCATGGCCAGGGGAGACGCTTCTGCCATGCAGACATGCGGCCAGTCCTTGTCCCAGCGTGGGAGGCAGACACCTCCTGGTTGGATGTACAGCCAGCCTGACCCTGAGGCCTTGGCCCCTTAGAAGCAGAGTGACACCCGCTGGGAGGGCTGGGCTGGGTGTCAGGGGATGAGGAGAAGATCCCTGAGCCAGGGAAAGCTGATGCCCTCCTGGAGGAGGGGAGATGGGTGTTAATGCAGCTCTGAGGGGGAGGCCCACCTGCATATGGGTGCCAAGGGCCCCCCGAGACCTCTGCCATCCCATCTTTCCTCCAAGGGCTCTGCTCACCTGGGGGCTAGCCTCCTTGGGGTGCCCAGGGACTCCTGGGGCCAGGCCTGAGAAGAGTTGGGCAGCCACTGATGGAATGTATCGTGTGGGAATGTTCCTGGGAGGGCCCATGCTGCCGGGGACGGGGTTCGTTCTCTGCAAGGCCTGGGGATGTGTGAGCAGCATCTCTCTCCTGGAAGTTTCTGTTGGCCTGTGGCCTAGCCACAGACCCCTCCCTCAGCCCTCACTGTTGGTTCCAGCTTCTTCGGGCCGGCATTGGCCTCCATTCCTACAGCTGAGCCCAGCCAAGCGGAGTCCCTGGGGTTTGTGCTTTTGAATGTTGGTAGGCTGGGCTGTGCTGGGCTGGCCTTCAAGTCCCCACTGCTCTGAGGCACAGAATGGAGCCCCCAGGCTTCTCCCCCAGGGCCACCTGTATCGGGGCTGCTGGGACCCAGGCGTCAGCCTACCAGGAAGGCATTGCCTCTGCAAAGTGGAGTGCCCTTGGCTCCCTTTGGGCTGGAGCCTGAGCTGTTGGGGATGCTTGTGCTTTTTCTCTGGGGTTAGGGTGAGCCCAGGCAGAGGGATGACCACCCTGCTTTAGGAGAGGGGCCCAGCCAAGCGAGACAGGAGGGAGGAGGGGAAGGAGGAGGGGAGAACCCCTTCCCAGGCCCCTCAGAGCATTGCCCCTGGGCTCCCTGGTGGCCAGTCCCTGAGCCATGTGACCTCCCAGGACCTAGGAGGATCTTGTGGAGAACAGTCTGGTGCTAGAGAGTGTGGACAGCCCCACCCACTATTCCTACTGAGCCAGGACTGGGGCAAGGGAAGGCTTCTCCACCCCTCCTCGCCTTCGTGGAGTTGGCAAGCAGTCAGCTCAGATTCTCCAACAAAAAACCCAAACCCTGAGCTTGAAAGGCCCTCCCTTCCTGGACAGAGGGAGATGGAGCTCAGCAGCCCCCCACCACCCAAGCTTGCCCATAGTGAATGCCTGGTACAGGCCCCAGCTCTCCCAGGTCAGGGGGGCAGGGGCCCCGGGGCCCCAGGGACGCATCTCCAGAAAGCAGCAGGCTCGGCCTCCATCACACCCCTTTCCTAGTCAGAACTCCCTTGGCCCCAGCTGGCCCCTCCAGGGTCCTGTGGTGAGGGGCTTTCTAGAAGCGTAGGTCAGTGGGCAGGAAGTGGCGGGGAGGAGAGGCCAGAGAGTTCCAGCCACTGTGGGGAAAGCAGGGTGGAGGAGGGGTGAGGTGGGGCAACAGGAGGGGGCTTTGCTTTGGAGGCTGGACCCTCCCCTGCAGGGACACTTGAGCCCCTCCTGGTGACGTCTAGTGGCCAGTGGCCTGCAGGCCTGTTCTTTCAGCTGCCCACCCAGAGGCAGCCTCACCCTGCTGGCCTGGGGAGGGCTGGCCGGGGCCGTGCAGCTCTGGTCACCTGGACTCGGCTCCTAGCCAGACTCAGCCGCTCCCGAACTCTGCTCCCCTCTGCCAGACCAGAGGAACGTGTGTGTGTGTGTGTGTGTGTGTGTGTGTGTGTGTGTGTGTGTGTCTGGAGCAAAATGTTCACTTCCAAATATATTTTTAAAAAGTTTCTCATGGAGGCTGCTCCTGGCAGGATTGAGGTTACTTGAGGGTGAAGGTGGCAGTGGCCTCAGCCCCCTGCCCACGTCCTAGATGACATTCTCGAACAGCTGCATGGAGCTCATGATGTTCTCATCCTGCACGGAGAGAGAAGGAGGAGAGGCCTGTCGGGTGCTGGGGGGCAGGGGTGGGGGATGGTCTCCAAACCCGCCCTCCTTGAGCAGATTCCTGCAGGGACTTGGACCCTGCAGTGACAGCTCTGTCGGTCTCACTGGGTAGATGGGGGAGCAGAGAAGTTGGGCAGCTGGTCTGAGGTCCCCAGATGGTAAGGCACGGCCTGTCTTTATGCAACGGCCTGACTGCAAGGCCATCTGATGACTCCCTGATGGACAAAGGCCTTCCTGGCTGGACACCCAGTGGAGGCCGGGGGTGCTGAGGCTGCCTGGGAGTGAGGCAGAGGTGAGGCCTGTGGAGACCCTGCGTCCTGTCCCCCAGCGGTGCGCCAGAGGAGGCCAGCAGCAATGCTGAGGAGGCTCTCGGTGCCTTTCCCCAGAGTGACCCCTCCCCGAGGGCCACAGAGGCTAATCACCCTCCCTCTGGCCCCATGTCTGCCCCGCTCTGACTCGAGGTGCTACAAGGGAGAGGCTGAGGGAGGGTCTACAAGGGGCGGGGGGTGGGGGGCTGGCAGGAGTGGGTGGCCCAGGGAGGGGGTGGACTAGACAAAAAAGTGAGGCCGGAGCTTGGATGCAGCGCCAGGAGGTGGGGCAGGACTGGGTATGGGGCGGGGTGGGAGGCGTCAACCACCCTCTCCGCACAGAGCCCGAGGGGACCGTGTGCCCAGCTTCCCGATGCCACCTACCTTCTGACAGGTCTCCAGGAACTCGTCAATGGTCACCACCCCGTCCTGATTCCGGTCCATTTTCTGTAACGGAAGCCACACCCGAGGTGAGTCTGTGCCCCACCAGGAACGGCCCCGCCCCCAGCCAGAGGATGTGGCAGTGGATAGATGGGCTCCCTCCACCTGACTCGTCCCCTCTGTCCCTAGCTTGGATCCAGGCCATGTAAAGTGCCTTCCCTAGCACCTCCCAGCCGCTGGTTGGCCCCTCTAGCATCTCCCCAGTCTGCCCCTCTCAGCCACTTCCCTGAGCCTTCCTGGGTTTATGCTTCCAACAATCTGTCCCCATGCTCACCTGACCCCTCACCTCTCTGACAGGAGGGCAGATGGAGTAACTGAGTCACAGGATGGCCACATGTCTAGAGGGCCCCCAGCAAGTGGGAGGCAGAGTCCCACCGCCCCAGGGCAAAGGCGACCCAGCCCTGCTGCTCTCACAGAGTGTTGCCCCGAGGAGCTGGGGACGCTCTCGGGAGGCCCTGGATCCAGTGTGGGCTGCCTGGAAATCACCAGCCCCAGCCTGCCCTGAGCTGAGGTTCAGCAGAGCAGGTTGGTGGTTTAACTCGCCTCTCAGGGTGGGGGGTGGTTCTGACAGCCTGCCAGGTTGGACAGGCAGGTTTGACCCCTTGTGGGGAGGAAGCTCAGAGGGGGCAAGGGGCTTGCCCAGGGTTGCCCCAGGAGCAGGAGCCCCTTCCTCTGCAGGGCTCCCCTCCCCACGGCAGGGGCTGAGCTCGCTCACCTGGAAGAACCGCTCCACGTGCTCCATGGGTGCGTCCTCCCGCAGGATGGGGTAGGTGTGGCGGCCCATCATGTCGTAGATGGACTTCATGATGGCCAGCATTTCCTGGGGGGAGGGGGCTGCATGAGGGCGGAGGGCCACTGCCAGGGCAGCGGTTGAGTGGGTGAGAGGGGAGCTTCTGACTCTCTGAGATAAGTTTATCTCCAAAAGAGGCTGGACATGGATTTTTATGTGCTAATCTTCAAAATCTGAAACTGTAACAGCTTCAAATACAAAAAAATTCCCCGGGCCAAACAAAACTTGTCTGTGGAGCAGTGTGGTGAGGACACCCCTCTGGCCCCGGCCTTAAGGGACCACACTGGCTCCCCTCACTTGGTAGGGGCTGAGGCCAGGACCCCGGCTTCTCCACTCGGGTCTCCCAGGCCCTCTCCCTAAGAAAGGACGGCCAGAGGACACTTGCTGGCTGGACCGAGATGTGTGGTGGGGCACACCAGCCCACGCTCCACACCCAGGCGTCCAGGACCGAGAGCACAGGGGAGGGGAGCCCGCGGCTGCTGCCCTAGGGCCAGGCTGAGTATTTGTGTCTCTGGACAGGGAGGGGAGGAGGGGTAGCCGGGCCTCCGCCCCCAGCCACCCCATACCTCTTTGGTGATGTAGCCATCCTTGTTAATGTCGTAGAGATTAAAGGCCCACTTGAGCTTCTCGTGGACTGTTCCTCGCAGCAGGATGGAAAGCCCGACCACAAAGTCCTAGGCAGGAAAGGGCAGGGGAGGAGTGTCAGCCCAGTGCCCACATTCGATTTCCAGGTTGCCGTGTGGCTTCCACTGAAATTCACACCTCCACAGGTGGGGTCTCTGTACCAGGTAGGCGGATGTCCATTCAGGTCAGTATGAGGTGAGCGTGTGCACGTGTGTGTGAGTGCACATGTGTGCATGCATGGCTGTGTCCCTACGTGCCTGTGTGTGCATATGCGTGCGTGTGTGAGTTGTGTGCCTGCATGTGTGTGCGTGTGCCTGGGGGTGTGGGTGTATGCATGCGTGGCAGGGTGGCATGATAGCCGACACTGATCTCAAACAAAGATGTTGAAATACATAGTGGCTTGTCCTCATTTAATGCATTGCTGCTGATAGAGGCCTGCACCTGCGTTTTTAACGAAGGGGGTCTCCTTTTAGTTTACTCAGCACCTGTGTGTCAGAGGTGCTTGAACACTTTCAGCTTGAAAAGCTAGACTAACGGTGCTCAACTCCTGAGTCAGGACATGCTGTGTGTGGCCATCACCTCTGGCCTATGACTAATTTATTACTAATGTGACAAAACAGGACTGTGGAAATGGTTTCCATGTGGAAACTTCAACTGCTTTGTTATATAAGCTGCACCTTCTGCGAGGTGTGAAGGCTGAGCCCTCCCTGCCCCACGGGGAAGGCAGCAGGAAAATGCTGTCCCCACACGCAGGTGGAGGATGGCCAGGCTGCAGAGGGCTGGGCTGCGCAAGGGGCCAAGTCTGTCTCACGTGGTAGATTTTCTTGACCTGAGGAAGCCTGTCCCATGGGACAGAAAGACAAAGGGAAACAGAGAAAAGCTATTTGGAAGAAACAAAAATTATTCCAGGAGATAAAACTTAACGAAAACTATCAGATTCAGAGGTTAGAGATCCTGTATCCTTAAAATAAGAATAGGATGCCATTAGAAAAAAAGGAGTAATTGGAAACAGGAAAGAGCTCTGGGGAATTAAAAATAAGGAAGCAAAATGACAGACTTAGAAGGGTTGGGAGAGCAGTTGGAATATTCCGCGGAGCGGAACGAGAGGGGGAAGACCTGGAGAATAGGAGAAAGGAGAGGACAGCGAGGGGTGCGCTCCCCGGGGGCCTGGCATGACGCAAGAGTTCCAGGAGGACCCTGCGACGAGGGTGGAAAGCAGGTTGGAGAAACCGTGAAGGAAGATTGCCCCAGTTGGAGGCCGAGATTCCAGGGTCTACCACGGGCCTGGCATGGCGCGTGGAAACGGCCGTAGTTTAGCCTGCAGGCACAGATCACGGTGCAATTTCATAAACATGGGGTGCAAAGAGAGGCTCCTACAAGCTTCCAGAGAGAAAAGCGAAGCCAAACACAAAAAGCAAAAGCAGGTCCCATTCACAAAGTCAGAGGCAGCAGGCTGTGCTGTCCCACAGTGACGCTGGAGGGAGGAAGCCACGGGAACGGTGCCACCGTCACTCTGCAGAACAACTTTCCAGGGGAGTTCTGGTCCCTACAGTGAATCAAGCAAGAGTTAGAACAGAATAAAGATACTTCCAGATGCCCAAAGGCTCAAAAGTTACATCCCACATACTCTTTCAGAGGACGAATTGAAGGTGCACAGAGAGTGAAGCAAGAGCGAGGAAGATGAGGGGTTCCAGAACCAGGGGGCCCAGCCCAGGAGAGGGAGGGAGAGGCCCCTGCGGGCACCTAGTCCCGACAGAGGATGGAGCCACGGGGGGCTGGGGAGGTGCCTCAGGGAGACGCCAGACAGGAAGTCCGGATGATTGGAGAAGGGCCCAGGCTTACGTGAATGATGAGGTCATAGAAAACCAGGCAAATGAAAATTCAGGACAAACGTTGACTGTAGGCAAAGGACAGGAAAACATAATCATGGTTCATGATAATTAATATGTGTCTTGTCTCTAAGAATGTTAAAAAAAGATCAGGGTTATTGCAAATATCGGTAAGCTGATCTGACTTTGCATTTTAAGGGTGTGTTGCAAGGTTCTGAGGCCTGGCAGTGAGGAGGGCTGAGTGTCCTCCAGGTCAGATTCTGCACCCCCTGCCCCTGGCAGAAGCTATTGTGAGCACTGGGATCCCAACCTGTGATGCTCCAAGGATGGCCTTCCTGAATACGCAGAACTCAGGGGCTGCTCATCATCTTTTTTTTTCTGAGACAGAGTCTCGCTCTATCACCCCAGGTAGAGTGCAGTGCTGTCATCACAGCTCACTGCAACCTCAAACTCCTGAGCTCAAGTGATCCTCTTGACTTAGCCTCCCAAGTAGCTAGGACTACAGGCATGTGCCACCGTGCCCAGCCAATTTTTTCTATTTTTAGCAGAGATGGCGTCTTGCTCTTGCTCAGGCTGGTCTTGAACTCCTGACCTCAAGCGATCCTCCCACCTCAGCATCCCAGAGTGCTAGGATTACAGGCGCGAGTCACCATGCCCTGCCAATTATCTCATTTCTGAACAAGAAAATCCAACCCACCAAGCCCCGCATGGGCCCATTACTCAGGATTCCTCCTCATACTTGACTGTCCAAAATCTTGGGTGCCTCTTAAAAAGGACACCAGAAACTGGTCACAGAGGAGGACAGTGAATTTTCCCTGGTTGGATTTTTTCCATGTGCAATGCTATTAGTATTTCAGGTGTTGCTGAAAATGAAGAGAAGAGAATACCGCGTGCTTGCACAAGCAAGGCCCTGGCAGTGAGGTGCAGAGGGGGGGTCCTGTGGTCACAGGGCATGGTGGGTGTGCGTGAGTGTGTCCGGTGGGGCTTGCAGCACAGAAATAACCCGAGCAGTATTATCGACGAGCTATTATTACCCCGAGGCGTGCAGGGGCTTTCTCCGCGCTTTCCTGTCAGCCGCCCTTGGCCCTGGAAGCTGAGCCCCGCGGTATCGATCAGGCCGGCTCTCAGCAAGGTTTTCCTCTCCGAAGAGGTTTCAGCTTTTTGCCTGCAGCTATTTTTAGGGGCCTGGGCTCCACAGATGGGGCCTCTAGCAAATGATCCTGTGCAGCCAGGCCTGGGAGGAGCCATGAGGCTGCCACACAGAGAGCCCAGGCCAGGCCCTGTGGCCGGGAAGCTGTCTGGGGTGGGGCTCGGGCTTCTCCTTCTGATGGCAGGGGGGCACCGGGCTTCACTCACAGTGCCCAGCTGGGATGTTTTCTGGATGTTTCTGGCCTGTTTTCTGGGTCACAAGGGGGAAATTCTGGGGCTGGGGTCCTGAAATCCCAGCATTCACGAGACAGACCTCTGAGTTAAACCTTGACCCCTGTGAAATGCAAACTCACGGGGTCACTACTGCCACATGTGCACTCGCAGCTCCCTTGGCGGGACAGAGCTGGATGGGGACTCCTCGAAAGGAAGAAACAGGGTGACAGGACGGCAAGGTCAGATGCCCCTGACCTCACTGGCCAGGGCCAGCTACGTGCTGCTCACTCGTTCCCTGAGTGACGTGCCGGACCTTTCCCACCCAGGATTGAGTCTGACCCTCTCGACAGCCCTGAGAGGGTGCCACCGGCGCTGAGAGATCCCCCATGGGCCTCAGGGGCAGGGCACGTGGAGGGGTCAGGCGGCCTACCTCGAAGCGGATGGCCCCGTTCCCGTCGGCGTCGAAGGCGTTGAAGAGGAAGTGTGCGTAGGTGGTAGCGTCTGTGGAGAGCAAGGCAGGGGCTGGGGTGTGCCAGGCCCCCAGCCAGGCAGCCCCACCTGGGGGTTCCAGCCGAGTTCCCCCTTCCAGCTGGACAGAGGCAGCACCAGGCGTCTGGAACGCATGGGGTGCCGGGAGGGCCCCTCCCTCCACACAGGGATGCCACGGGGGCTTCAGAGGAGCCAGGGGGCCTGGCCGTGGACTCACCTCCCTGAGGGAAGAACTGTGAGTAGATGAGTTTGAAGGTGTCTTCATCCACCAGGCCCGTGGGACACTCCTGCAGCAGGAAGTCACCCCCTCAGCTACCTCGCCCACCCCCAGATCCATGCCCCAACTCTGGCTCCACGGGGCCTGGCCTCTCTCCCCCTCTTGGGGGATGCCTGGGCTGGGGAAAGCCTGGGCGGGGTGGGCGAGAGGAGGAGGGGCAGGTAGGAAGGGGGTGGCTGCTCCCTCGTTCCGAGCTGCTCTCCTTCCCTGTACCAGCATCAGAGACAGAGAGGGGAGCACAGTGGACCTCACAATTCTGATTCTGGGGCCCACTCCAGCCCATAGCCAGCTCTTCTGAAAAATGTAAGCCCCATAAAGGCCCCTGGGATATTTACTGTGCCATGGAGAAGTTTCTAGAAGGTCTCCCTGGGCCTGGGTCTCTCCTGCCTGGAGTCAGGAATAGGGAGGGCTGGGTGGGTCTGGGACTCAGGCCTCAAATAGGGGGGTGCTTACATTCTTGAAGCCCCTGTAGAGGGACTGCAGCTCTTTCTTGGTGAACTTGGTCTGTGCCTGCAGCTGGTCCAGCCCCTCCGGCTGGTGGCGTACCGTGGACAGCTCCAGCTCACTGTCGCTGCTGTCTGGAGGGAGACACAGACCCAAGGGGGTGAGGCCTGTGGCCCTGCTCCTTCAGCCTGCCCTGGTGTGGGCAGTGCCAGGGCACGGGCTGAGACGGGGTGGAGCGACTCTCCTTGTACTGCACAAATGAAGGGGCTGTGACTGAATGGCACATTCAGGGTTGTGCCTCATGACTTCTGCTTCCCTGTTTCCCACTGAGGAGGCTCTCCCCACCTGCCTCACCCCAGCAGTGCCCCCTGCCAGCCACATGGTGGGACGGAGTAGGAGCTGTTCTTGTCCTAGAGAAACACTCAACAAGGAGAGACAGGAGGGAAAAAGACAGCAAAGACAGTCACGAGGGACCCCTAAACTTCACGACCGAATTCCTAGATCACCTCTTCTGTGTGGCCCTCCTTAACTTCCCCCAGGAATGGGGAGGGCTCCCCTCTCGGCCCATCGAAGCCTAACACAATGCTGTCCAGCTACATTTGGGATAGGGGTGTTATCTATGTTTGGGTAGAAAGTCAGACCTCCAAAGCCTGTAGGGCAGGGATCAGACCCTTCCTTTAAAAACAGCACACCAAAATGTGAGCCATGACTACCTGTGGGGGGACAGGGGATTGCACGTGATCTTTACTTTTTTATTTATGATTTTGTTTTTGCATTTTCCTAGTTTCTTGTGGTATGAAATGCATCACCTTTACAATACAAAATAAACCTATGGACACAGCAGCATTCAGTACCCACGACACCTTGCCCAGCAGCACGCTCACGTAGCTAGAGTGTCACCTTCCCACTGACTCAGACATGTGAGCCCCACTGCACCGAGTCCGCGATTATTTACACAGCCGCAGCTTGCTGCCGCCTCTCCACTGCAGGGGCAGCCGTGCTGCACTGCTCATCCCGTGCCCAGGTGTCCAGCACCGTGCCAGGCAGGGCCTTGTGCTGAGCCTGCTTCACACCTGGGCCTCCCTGGGGAGCCGGGCAGGAGAAATACCAACCGCGAAAGCACTTGGAGAGCTGTCCAGCAATGAGGCTGTTTCCTTGTCTACACTCACTCCCAACTTCCAAAAGAACTATGTCTCATCTTCCTTCTCTTTCAGTTTCCAGAATCCCCTTCCCCATCGTTACCCTTGGGTTGCTTCCTACCTCATTAAGAAGATGGAAGCCACAGAAGATTTCCCCAAGTTCTTTCCGACACACCTACCCATCCACCTGCACCTGGCCCAGACATGGCTTTCCCTCATTCTCTGCCGACGAACCGTCCCTGTTCCCGGTGAAGGCAAAGCTCCTGTGCAGTGGGTCCCGACCCCTCTCATCTACTCAAGCATGTGGCTTTAACCATTCTCCTCACTCTTTCCTCATCATTTTCCCCCCTCCCTTCTGGATCATTCCCATCACCATATTGATAAATCTGGCAATCCACAGTCAAATTAAGGATAGGCAAGCCCTGTAAGCCAGCAATCCCGCTCTGGGTAACATCCCACACAGAATCTTCCCCAGCTCAGAGACCTGTACAAGATGCTCACAGCAACAGTGTTTTTGGTGGTGAGGAGGGGTTGGAGGCAACTCCGGGGTCCCTCACAGGCAGGGTGGGTGGGCACACTCTGGGGCTGCACAGCAGGGGGAACGTGCGGTGGGTTAGGTGCACACATAGCAGCGTGGACGGATGTTAGAAATAAGGTGCTGCCTTGATTAAGAGGCAGACTTTTCAGACTGGGTGAAAAGGCAAGGCCCAGCTACAGGCTAGTTACAAAAAGGACACTCTTAATACAAAGACAATGACAGATTTAGAGTAAAAGGGTGGGAAAAGGATAAGAAAGCTGGACATTTCATAAAGATACAAGGATTAATTCATCAAGAAGACAGAATAATCTGGAACATATACCACATAGTAACAGAGCTTTAAAATACCCAAGGCAAAAATTCAAAACTAAAGGGGAAAAAAAAAAAAAGCCACAATCACAGTTGAAGATTTTAACATCCTTTTCTAGTAAATGGTATAACAAGTAAAGGCATAAAACATTTGAAAAACACTGTCAACCGATTTGACCTAATTAATATTTTATAGGACACTGTATAACTATAGAATACACATTTTTTTCAAGAGCACATTCTGTGGTTACCAAGATATACCAGATGTTGGAACATTAGAACAGATTCTGACCACAATGATATGAAGTCAAAATTCAGAACAAGATATTTAGAAAATCTCAAGTACTGAGAAATAAACAACACATTTCCAATTAGCCCATAGGTCAGAGAAGAAAATCACAAAGCAAATTTTGAAATATTTTGAATTGAATGGTAATGAAAAACACAGCATATCAAACTTTGCTAGATGTAGGTAAAGCTGTGCTGAGAGGGGAACTTAATGCTTTAAATTCCTTCATTAGAAAAGAAGATAGGTATAAAACAAATGACAGAAACTCCTACATCTAAGTATTTCAGAATCTAGAAAAAGCAGAGTAAATTAATCTCAAAGTAAGCAGAAGAAAGGACATAATAAAAATAAGAGTATAAGTCAATGAAAAAGAAAACAAACAGAGAAAAACAAAATCATTAAGAAGCTCAATAGGCAAGTCGTAGACTTGGAAAAACATAGCTTCAGTGCACGTATTTGACAAAAGACACATTTCCAGAATGTATAATAAACTTTCACAAATCAATGATAGTAAGACCCAAAACTCAAGTTTTAAAATAGGCAAAAGACTAGGCTACTTCACAAAAGAAAATAAACAAGTGGTCAATAAGTACAGGAGAAGGTGTTTGAAATAGCACTAATTATGAAAGAAATGCAGATGATTCAATGCAATATGCAAAACACACAATCATTTATCGTTTCAAAAAGATTGACAGTGCCAAATGTTGGTAAGGATGTGGAGCAACAGAAACTCTAATATATTACTGGTGTAAGTGTAAAATGATATAACCACTCTGGAGAACTGCTTGTCAATTTCTTATAAAGTTAAAACATATATCAACATTATGACCTATTTACCCAGGACAAAGAAAGACTTGTACAAGAATACTCATAGTAACTTATTCATAATAAAATTTAATATTCAAAACTGGAAACTACCCAACAGAAGCATGGAACTATGACACATTTATATAATGGAATACTATTCTCCATTTAAAAAAAATGGAATGAACTACTGATAAATGCAACATGGATGCATCTCAAAAATAGCATGCTAAGCAGAAAGGCCAGACATAGAAGAGTTTATACTGTATGATTCCATTTACACAAAGTTCTAGAACAGGCAGCACTAATGGATTGTGAAAGAAAGCAGTACAGTGGGGTGGTGGCTACAAGGGTGTATACAACTGTCAAAATGTACTGAACATTTAACATAGTGCATTTTGTTGTATGTAAATTATACACCAATTAACAAAAAGAAAACATATTGATTAGACTTCTGCTTTCAGTCAAGATAGGATAGTGAGTGGCAGACTTACCATCCTGGTGCAAATAACTTTAAAACTGGAAGAAATACGTGGGGCAAGTATGTTCAGGCTTTGGACTACAGCATAGGGCTAAAATCTTTTAGAGCAGGGAAACTGAAGTGAGTTCCACATTCATCCTGGGTATCTGCCTACAGACACTTTCTAGACCATGGCACAGGGAGGTGGGACATAAGCCAGGGAGCAGCAGTCTTCTGAGCTGATGAGGCACAGATCAGAGTTTGGGGCTGCTAAGAGCAGAGTCCTGGAAAGAAAGGAGCCATGCAGAATGGTGGCTCCAGCAGTCTGCATGTGGGTCCTCATGGGGCCTCGGCCAAGGGCTGGGCTACACTCATTTAGAATGAGACTATAAGGCTAAGAAGAGAGCAGCTGCTGGGGAGGAGAGGGTGGCTAGGGAGACAGAGACCTGAAAGGACACATTAGAATTCATGCAACAATGGGAAAAATTGGAGTATTGGCTAAGCCAAAATGGAGACATCTCTCTAAGCTCCTCAGGTGCTGAAACCCCAGAAGGGCCATGCTTTAGGAAGAAGAACCATGCCCTTCAGTAAGGGCATGCTCTAGACCTAAGAACAAAGTCAAAACAAACCTACTCTAGCAAAGCCTAAAATAAAGTCTGTGAAGATCAAATGGCTCTGCCAGTAATTTAACTGCCTACAAAACTAAAATTCAATGTATTTATATTAAGACAATATAATATAGATTCCTCACATATAATATACAACATGTAAATAATATCCAACATATAATAAAAGATTTAAAGACTTGGGAAGAAGTAGGAAAATGTGACCATAATAAAGAGATAAAGGAGTGAGCAGAATTATTAGACTTTTATCATTAGAATTATGAGAAAAGAACCCTAAAACAGGCCTGGTACAGTGGCTCATGCCTGTAACCCTAGCACTCTAGGAGGCCAAGGCGGGCAGATCGCTTGAGGTCAGGAGTTCAAAACCAGCCTGAGCAAGAGTGAGACCCCCGTCTCTACTAAAAATAGAAAGAAATTAATTGGCCCACTAAAAATATATAGAAAAAATTAGCCAGGCATGGTGGTGCATGCCTGTAGTCCCAGCTACTCAGGAGGCTGAGGCAGGAGGAACATCTGAGCCCAGGAGTTTGAGGTTGCTGTAAGCTAGGCTGACGCTACAGCACTCTAGCCTGAGCAACAGAGTGAGACTCTGTCTAAAAAAAGAAAAAAAAGAGAGACAGAGAACTGTAAAACAACTATTATCAACATGTTGAAAGAATTAAAGGAAAGAAAAGAGTAATAGATAGGAATCTTAGTAGAAAAATAAAACTATTTAAAAAAACCAAATGGAAGTTCTAATCCTGAACAAAATAATACCTAAAATTAAAAATTCACTTGAGCTTCAGAGAAGACTTGACACTATAGGAGAATAAATCAGTCAATCTGAAAGTCAACAGGAATTATCCAAACTAAAAACAAAGAAAAAAATATTGACAAAACCATGCACAGAGTCTTAATGATAATACCAAGCAGCCTAATAAATATGTAATTAAAATATCAGAAGTAAAGGAAAAAGAAACTGGGACATAA